CTGCAAGGCGCCCTCCCAGTGGATTGGGCAACTTTGCTCCTAGTGCCCATTGTCCCCAGCCCTACCGACCAGAACCATGGGCTCAGAATGTCTGTGGGTGGCAGCCTACACCAGGTCCGAAGTCCAGGCACGGCTGACTCGGCCAGTTAACCTGGGTATGGTTGTGGAGGACCAGGTGGCAGCAAGAATCCAACTAGAGGCCTGGTGCCTTTCAGATGCTCAACAAACCATGATAGTCAAGGCAGCTTTGCCGTAGAAAGGAGTGCAAAGGCCAGCTGGCTGGCCCAGGGGCTGGGTGGGGACCAAGTGTGTTTGGCCTGGTAGCACATCAGGTCTCACACAGGACACTCCATCCATCTGTCCATCCATCCTTTCATCCATCTGTCCATCCATCCATCCATCCATCCTTCCATCCATCCATCCATCCATCCTTCCATCCATCCATCCATCCATCCATCCATCCATCATGTCCATCCATGGCAAGGGTACTGCTTAGTCATTGACTCATCCACCACACATGGAGTTCAGTACCTGGTATCCTTGGCCCTGTTCAGAAACAGGGAACTGAGAACCTCCTCTTCATGAGTGAGCACATTTCATGTGATCACCTCACCCCACGTGTGTGATCACCTCACCTCAGTGTGATCACCTCACCCCACATGAGCACCTCACCTCAGTGTGATCACTTCACCTCAGTGTGATCCCATGTGTGATCACCTCACATGTGTGATCACCTCACCCCACGTGTGATCCCATGTGTGATCACCTCACGTGTGTGATCACCTCATCCCATGTGTGTGATCACCTCACCCCACGTGTGATCACCTCACCTCAGTGTGATCACCTCACCTCAGTGTGATCCCATGTGTGATCACCTCACGTGTGTGATCACCTCATCCCATGTGTGTGATCACCTCACCCCACGTGTGATCACCTCACCTCAGTGTGATCACCTCACCTCAGTGTGATCACCTCACCCCATGTGTGTGATCACCTCACCCCATGTGTGTGATCACTTCACCCCCCGTGTGTGATCACCTCACATGTGTGATCACCTCACCTCAGTGTGATCACCTCACCCCACGTGTGATCACCTCACCTCAGTGTGATCACCTCACCCCACGTGTGATCCCATGTGTGATCACCTCATCCCGTGTGAGCACCTCATCCCCCACATCGAGCCTTTCCCCCTTCTCATGGAGTCTGCTGGCCTGAGCCCCAATGCCAGGACAGTGTGAAAAGATGCACACACACACACATACTGCACTGTGCATGTTGTTCTTGGAGACCAAAGAAATGTCCTTCTACAGCGCTGAGCTCAAGCACACAGTGGCTTCTTTTTTTTTTTTGTTGGTCGTAGGGCCCGAACTCTGGGCCTGGGCGCTGTCCCTCAACTCTTCAGCTCAAGGCAAGTGATCTACTTGAGCTACAGCGCCACTTCTGGTTTTCTAGTGGTTTATTAGAGATAAGAGTCTCACTGCCTTTCCTGCCCAGGCTGGCTTTGAATCGCGATCCTCAGATCTCAGCCTCCTGAGTAGCTAGGATGACAGGCGTGAGCCACCGGCGCCTGGCCACAGGGGCTTCTTAATGCTGCTCTGAACCACAGCCCATGTCCTCACCCCTGCTGTGCCCACGTCAGCCCGGCCTGGCTGAGGTATCTGCCTTTCTGATCGGCAAGGTGTGTTTCCACAGTCCAGGCTCTCTTGTCTGGGATGACCACTGGGTCTGGAGGAGAACCCAGGGGCAGTGCCCTGGGGCAGGGTCTGCAACCTCTTCAATCTCAGCCACCAGTCAGGAGCCGAGTTCTCACTCCCTTGCTGGCCCCAGGGTCCCTGAGCCACTGTGAGCCTCCATTTGACTCCCAGCACTATCCTGGCTGGGAGCCCTGTTCCCTGGGAGCAGGGGTCAAGGAGGCAACCGTGCTGGCCCAACGCTGCTGGGCATCCCCATCCATGGGAGGGAGAGTGCTTTCATCTGTGTGGCCCAGGCCCTGGGCTCACTTCCAGTGCCTGGCATCACCTTCCCCATTCCTCCTACCAGGAGGTCCCTGGGGTGACTTCAGTGCTCAGAGCGCCAGCGTGGACCCAAGCCGCCACTGTCTACACTGCGTTGGCAAATGGACTGAGGCCACAGGTGCAGGGAACAGGCCCCGGCTCTGTTGCTTCCCACCAGGAGCTGCGCTAATTGGGCCCAGGCCGCTTCTGCCCCATGCCTTCTCCCCAGCCCCCCCCCCCCCCCCCAGCACCTAGCTCAGTCTTCCTGGGAGCTCGGGGTCTGTAGCTCCCTCTGGGCCTCGCGTGGGGCCCCCTCCTAGACTCAGTTGTACCAGGGCGTCTGATCTGGGGGGGGGGGTGCCCTGGCTCTCCTCATCTTGGCCACCCTCTGGGCAGTGGAGGGTTTGCAGGGTTGAGGCCTAGCTGAGCCTAGGAGGCTGGAGGGACGGGCGTGGCTTCTCCCTCCTGCCCAGCTGCATGGGATGCCCCCAGCTAGCCAAGCCTCTGGGAACCCTGGGAAGCCAAGGTTGGCTCTTTCAGCTGTGAATCTGTGCCCTGAGGGTCCCGGGATGGGGTCCCGGGATGGGGTCCCGGGATGGGGTCCCGGGATGGGGTCTCGGGGTGAGGCCATGGCCAAGGGCCAGCCACGCGAGCCTGAGCCCTGTGAGGCCCCTGCCTGAGCCCCGTGTCCGCGCTGGAGGCGGCTGGGGCGGTGGGCCGGAGTGGTGGGCCTGGGCGGCCAAGCCCCTGACCCCACCAAGCTGGGGTCAGGCCCCGGGCGGCCCGGCGGGGCCACTAGAGGGCGCCGGGAAGCCCCCACCCCGCCCAACCCCCTTTTGCTCGGAAGCTGGCCCTGATCTGGGGGCCGGGCCTCCTCCCAGCACCGGCCCAAGGGGCGGCCGACTGGGCCCGGCCATGGCCCAAGGCGGCACCGGGCTCTGGCGTGGCGCGGGCCTCGGGCACGGACTCCAGCCGCGGCGGGGCTGGTGCGGCGGGGTCTGTGTCCAAGTCCCCGCCTGGCGCAGGAACCAACGGCCCCTTCCGGAGAGCCCGCGCCGCCTCCCTCCCGCAGGGCACCGGCCGCGGGCGTTCCAGCCCCGCGGACCGAGAGCCACGAGGGCGCCCGGGGCGCGGCCCGAGCTCCTCCGGCGGGAGGCGGCGCGGGGTCTTCCGTGCGCCCGTGGGGAGCCGGGCGGGGCCGCAGAGGCCCGAGTCGGTGCGCGGGACCCAGCGCGGGAAGAGCGGGACGGAGCGGGACGGAGGGCCGCAGACCGAGGGACGTTACCGCACCAGACACCCGCACCCCGTCCCGGGGAACCCCGCGCCGCGCCCCCGTCCGCACCCTGGCCCCGCTCCATCCCGCGCCTTGGGGCTGCGGTCCACAGGCGGCCTGGGGCGACCAGAGGCGGGCGGCTCCCCGCAGAGCACAGGCTCCCGGGCCGCGGGCACCGGAAGAATCCCGCTCCGGCGAGCGCGCCTCCGCCTGCCGCCCGCGCGCGGGGCGCGATGTATCCGAGGCCGAGGGCGCGGGGCCGAGGGCACCGGGGGTCCTGCGGGGCCGAGGGCACCGGGGGTCCTGCGGGGCCGAGGGCACCGGGGGTCCTGCGGGGCCGAGGGCGCGGGGCCGAGGGCACCGGGGGTACTGCGGGGCCGAGGGCACCGGGGGTCCTGCGGGGCCGAGGGCGCGGGGCCGAGGGCACCGGGGGTCCTGCGGGGCCGAGGGCGCGGGGCCAAGGGCACCGGGGGTCCGGCGGGGCCGAGGGCTCCGGAGGTCCTGCGGGGCCGAGGGCGCGGGGCATGGCGGCTCGCGTGCGTCCGCAGCGCCGATCCCGTCCCTCAGGTGCCAGCCGGACCGCGGGGCCGCCCGACCCCGCCACAGGTGGCAAAACGGAAGCGAGCGCCAGGGGGGCGCCGCGGGGTCACGTTCCCGCCAGGCCCCCTCCGAGAGTCGAACCCGCAAATCGTCGTCAACAAAGCGCCCGGGTCGGAGGCATCCGAGCGCCGCGCGGGGCCCGGCCCGGAGCCGCGGTCCGTTCGCGGGCATCCGGGTCCCGGACGCTAACGGGCGGCGGGCGGCCCGGCCGCGGGGTCCTCGGTGAAGGTCCTGGGAGCGCAGTCGGTCCGTCCGGGGCTGCGGAGGCCGAGGCCGCCGGGCTCTGTCCTCCCGTCCGCTGCACGTCGGGGGCACACGGCCGGCGGGCGGGGAGTCGGGGCGTGGGGTCTCGAGCCGGGGAACCCCGCACCTTCCAGCCCCTGCCCCGGCCTTGCGTGGGGAGACTTGCCTGGCTGGCGCGGGCCGAGGCCGGCCATTCGTTTCCGGACCCGGGGCGCCGGCTTCCTCCTCCCTGGCGGCCGGGGTCCCGGCGGCTCGCGGCGGCTGCCGTCCGGGCTCGGGTCGCGCCCGCCCCGGCCCCGGCCCCGGCGGCGTCGGGCCGCGCGTCCCGGGCTCGTGCCCGCGTCGGGCGCACGGGCGCGCGCGGCGCCTGGTCGGAGCTAGGACCTGCGTTCTTTCGGGAGACAGGGCGCGCCGTCGTAGTTTCCCGATTTCCCGAGAAAACGCGGCCTCACTAAACTCCCATCGACGGGATTTATGTCGTCCCGCGGGAGATAAATCAGGGGCAAATTTACAGCCCCGGGGCGCCCGCCGCGCTAATGGGCCCTTCATGGAGTGCGCGGGCCGGGCGCGCGGCCGGGCGGGGCGCTGGCCAATGGCCGGGCCGCCCGCGCCCGCAGCCAATCAGCGCGCGCGCCGCGCCCCGGCCCCGCGGTTATCAGCCCGCCGGGCCCGCGCGGCGCCGCTCCGGCCGTCCCGGAGCCGCCCTCGGCGCTGCCGCCCGCGCGCCGCCCGGACCCCGGCCGCCGCCCAGCCCGGGCCGGAGCCGCCCGCCCGCTGGGGCCGTCGGCGCCCGCTCGCTCGCCCGCCCGCGCCCCACGGCAGCCGGCGCCCGCCCGCGTCCCGCGCAAACTTCGCCGGCCGGCGGGCGCGGGCGGCGGCGGGGCCCGGATGGGCCCCCGGGCCGGCGGCGGCGGCGCCCATGGACGCTAACCGCCCGGGGGCGTTCGTCCTGAGCAGCGCGCCGCTGGCCGCGCTGCACAACATGGCCGAGATGAAGACGTCGCTGTTCCCCTACGCGCTGCAGGGCCCCGCCGGCTTCAAGGCGCCCGCCCTGGGCGGCCTGGGCGCGCAGCTGCCGCTTGGCACCCCACACGGCATCAGCGACATCCTGGGCCGGCCGGTGGGCGCGGCGGGCGGCGGGCTCCTGGGCGGCCTGCCGCGCCTCGGCGGGCTCCCCTCGTCGGCCGGCGTCTACTTCGGGCCCGCGGCCGCCGTGGCGCGCGGCTACCCCAAGCCCCTGGCCGAGCTGCCCGGCCGCCCGCCCATCTTCTGGCCCGGCGTGGTGCAGGGCTCGGCCTGGAGGGACCCGCGCCTGTCCGGCCCGGGTAAGTGGCCGGCGCGGGGCGCGGCGCGGCGCGGGGCGGGCCGGGCGCGGGCGGCGCGGGTCGCGCTCACCGCCCTCCTCCGCAGCCCCCGCCGGCGGGGTCCCGGACAAGGACGGCAAGAAGAAACACTCGCGGCCGACGTTCTCGGGCCAGCAGATCTTCGCGCTGGAGAAGACCTTCGAGCAGACCAAGTACCTGGCAGGCCCCGAGCGCGCGCGGCTGGCCTACTCGCTGGGCATGACAGAGAGCCAGGTGAAGGTGAGCGCGGGGCCCGCGACCCGCGTCCGGCGAAGTGCGGCCCGGGGGTCGCCGGCGGGGCCCCGCGCGCCCTGATCGAGACCGGCCCGGGGGTTGCCGGCGGGGCCCCGCCTGCCCTGACCCCCCCACGCCCGCCCCTCCCTCAGGTGTGGTTCCAGAACCGCCGGACCAAGTGGCGCAAGCGGCACGCAGCGGAGATGGCTTCGGCCAAGAAGAAGCAGGACTCGGACGCGGAGAGGCTGAAGGTGGGCGGCTCGGACGCCGAGGACGACGACGAGTACAACCGGCCCCTGGACCCCAACTCGGACGACGAGAAGATCGCGCGGCTGCTCAAGAAGCACAAGCCCGCGAGCCTGGCGCTGGTCAGCCCGTGCGGCGCGGGCGACGCGGTGTAGCCGCCGGCCGGGCGCCCGGCCCCCCGCGCCGGCCCCGGCCCCGCCGGCCCCGGTCCCCCGCGCCGGCCCCGGCCCCGCCGCCCCCGGCCCCCCGCGCCGCCCCCGGCCCCGCCGGCCCCGGTCCCCCGCGCCGGCCCCGCCGCCCCCGGCCCCCCGCGCCGCCCCCGGCCCCGCCGGCCCCGGTCCCCCGCGCCGGCCCCGCCGGCCCCGGCCCCCCGCGCCGCCCCCGGCCCCGCCGGCCCCGCCGCCCTGGCCTCGCGCACATATATTTTTGCAGAATAAGTTATAAAGCGGCCCGGCCGGGCGCGGCGCGCGGGACGCGGGGTGCGGGCGGGTCTTTGTATGTCAATAAATTATTTAACTCGTCCGCGTCGGAGCCGCGGCTCCCGCTGCCCCGCGTGTTTCTTCCGTCCGGAGCGCGGCTCCCCGGCGGCCCCGCGTGTTTCTTCCGTCCGGAGCGCGGCTCCCGCTGCCCCGCGTGTTTCTTCCGTCCGGAGCGCGGCTCCCCGGCGGCCCCGCGTGTTTCTTCCGTCCGGAGCGCGGCTCCCTCCCGCCCGTCCCGCGGCGGCGCGGTCCCCGTGCGCGCGCCGGTTCCGCGGCCCAGCAGGGGCGCGGGAAGGAGCCGAAGCGCGGTGCCCGGAGGAGCCCACAGCGGCCCCGCGGCAGGTACGCCCCCCTCACCGCACCCCTTAACGCACCAGGCCCGCGTCCTTGGTGGCCCCCGAATATGGGCAGAACGCCGGTGCGGGCGCGCGGAGCCCGCCGGGAGCTGCCCCGGGCGGCCCGGCCGAGCCCGGTGCCGCTGGAGAAGCCGGAACGCCGAGCCGAGCATTGCAAGTCGGCCCCGGCGCGCACGGAGGGGCTGCAGCCGAGCGCCGCGCGGCCCCCAAAACCACCGTTTCCATCCAAACACCTGTGCCCATCTGGAGCGGCTCACAAACCCCACTGCGACCAACTCTGGAAGGGCCCCGGCCGCGGGGGAGGGCCTTCCGGGGAACCCCTGGACCCCCAAAGCTGCCTAGCTATGGAACATTCCCGTTGGCTCCAAGGGTGTGATTTCCCAGGCCAAAACCCACTTGCTCCCTCTGTTCGTGGGCCCGCGGGTATTCCACAGGTGCTCTGTAGCAGATTTAAGCCTTGAGTTGCAATATCGCCTATTAAGTACAGGTTGATCCAAAATTTCTCTGAGACTGGAATTCTGAAGGTGTTTATGAGAAAAGTAGAAGTCTGCAGTTTTGTTTAGCATTTCCCCGGTAGTTGTATCGCTAGGTGACATTTCTTTTGGGTCACTGGCTGGTTTTCCTTAAAAAGAACCCAAATCTGTGTGCGTGCGCGTGTGTGTACGTTTGTGCACACATCTGCTGGGTTCTGGGGCTTGAACTCAGGGTCTGGGTGTTGTCCCTTAGCTCATTTTCTCAAGGGTGGCGGTGTAATTTCAGCAAATGAGCTATATCTCAGCTAAAGGTAAGATCAGAGGAGTTAATTTCATTTTAAGTTTTTGTTTTTGGAAAGCAAACCACTTATATACCTCCATTACAAATGCTGAGGGACAAGCCTTTTTCCTGATAGAGAAAAGTTCAAGAACTGGTTCTCTGACAGTCAGTGCCAGTGAAATGCTAGGATTCATGAGCCAGAGCACAAACAACAGGGCACAAAGGAAGCCACCAGCAGAACTTAGCATTTCAAAGACGGGAAGGGGGGGGGGGGCAGGAGACAAAGCAGCAGGAACTGTTTTCACCAGGATCAATTTTATTGCTTAGGAACCGGGCAGTCTCTTCCAAAGGCCTTCAGAAGAAGGACGCAGCAGAAACCAGACAATCTCCAGTGGTGGCCGAGATGTGGCATGTTGACAGCGTAGACCACAGCACTGCGCAGACCGGACCACACCTCCCAAGCCCAGGCCGGCCTGCAGACACCAAGTTACTCTCCAGGGTAGTGATTCCCACAGAAACACGCGAACTCACGCCTCCGCCCGGTCCAGGAACTGTAGTGTTCAGAAGTAAATCAATAAACGCACGCTGTGTCTCTTTTGGCAACAGGCTCTGCGGCTGCCTTCCGCGCGGTACTCAGTGCTGGGAGCCGAGTGTGGGCAGCAGGCCACCCGCAGCCCCGCAGGCCGGCAGCCACAGGCAGCCCAGCGTCCCTTGACACACGGCCCATGCTGGAAGCGATCCGTGGGAAGCGGACGAGGCTATTTCTAACTCTCCCACGAGATTATGGTTTTATGTAGGATACTTGGCACCATAAAACGGTAACAAAAGACAAAATGGTTTACAAAATTCTTAAAAGGTACACCAGGCTAGCTACAAACTTCACATTCAGTTCTTAATCTTACACAGAGGAAGGCAGCGGAGTGACAAGGGCGGGGACCTGGGTAGTGGGGCCATTTCTCCCGCACTGCAGGTCCTCCGTCTGGGGAACTGGTGTTGGCCTGTGTCACTCAACTGCTGCCTCAGTCTACCTGCCGATGGGACACGCGTGCACTCATACTGGAAAGTATATTCAGCGTAAGTTTTGGTAAGATTTATAAATTATTTTAAAAAGTATATATTTATATGTATTTATATATATAAAAATGGAAAGCAGCTGCAGTGTGATTCAGAGGCCACGTCACATGGCAGTAGAGTTGGACCACGGGGCCACCCCGGCGGGCAAGGGGCCCCGGGCTCCTGGGCTCTACACTGGAGAAGCTCCTCCACAGACACTCAGGACAAATGAAGAAGTGTGAGTCTAAAATACAGAATCTCTGCTTGTCTATTAGAGTTTTGGCAATAGGACTGTGACTTATTTAAAAACCCAGCATGTCTACTTAATGTCACACGAACAGACACAATGGTGAGGTATGTGAGGCTCCGGAGGCTCCGGAGGCTGAAGCGAAGTGTGGGGCCGGCCGTCTAGCAGGCAACGCTGGGCAGGGACCGGTGGCGGCTGGAGTAGCTTTGATACACTGCTACAGGGAGGTCTCGCCGAGCGCCCGGTCCTGGCGCTGGCTCCTCTTTCCTGAAGGGAAACGAGTCGTTCATTAAGGGAGCAAACACACCAGGAAAAGCTGCAGAAAGGAGAACTAAGGGAAGGAGCCATATTTACCAACACGTCACTGCACGACACAACACTTGTGCACATGGGCGTGAGGTTTACCTGCCCCGGGTGCGATTCGGAAGGCCAGGAACACGGGCTGCAGCGGGGAGGAGAAAGGGTGTCAGCAGGCAGGCCGCGGGCCCACAAGTCTCCTGGGAGGCTGGGGCGGGTCCACGGGAGGAGACTGATGTGCACAGGCAGCACGGAGCACAGGATGTGGACGAGACCGCCTGAGCCGTGAGAGGCTCCAGATAGCCTTCGTGTTCACAGGGAAGGTGCTCAGGCAAAAAGGATGTCAGTGCCGGGCGCAGCGCAGCGGGGAGGGGTGCGTCCACCCGGCAGGGTCGCGTGGACCCCTCCATACCACTGGGTCTGCAGGGCTGCCCGCCCCCAGGCCGTCGGTACAGACGTCCAGTGCCTGTCCCAAGCAACCGGGCCCATGGGACACCTATTTATCACTCTGACTGGCTGACCTGAGTGCAACACCGAGCCCTAACCAGTCTTCAAAAACAACCAGTGGAGACACGGTGTTTTACGAACAATGGCATGATGAATTTTCTATTACAACTAGTCATTTTGCCATCCTCCTCCCAACTCATCTGTCTCTCAGTATTTTATTAAAATTAAATAAACACAATCTAACTTGGCTTGCAGCTAGGCTAGGGAGGTGAGACCCCGCACCCTGCCTTCCTGCCAGCCATCCGCCCGGGCCTGGTTCAACAAGGCCGCTTACCTTATGGTCTCCCATGCAGACGTTGGGCCCAATGTGGTCGTAGGTGGCCACCTTGTCCTCACTCTCTGACTGGAAGCAAACAGAGAGCAGCATGGGAGGTTGGGGTACACTGCGTGCCACTGGGGGTAACAGGTAGGGTTGCAGGGCACACGGTGGGTCTGGCCAGTGGGGGAGCTGGCCCTGGACAGGTCTGGCCAGGCACTGCAGCTGACCACTGCCGCCGCAGCATCACACCCCCTGCCCGGGGAGCGTGGGGCTCCCTGTCTGCTGAGCTCTGCACCGGCAGGCGTGGCCCCTCACCCGCTGCACTCCGCCCCACTCCGAGCCTCCTGGCCAAGGGGCTTCACTAACTATAGCAGCACGTCCATTTCCCGCCTTCTGTTTACATTCGTTGTTGACAGCCTGCTCGGTGAACAGAGCTCCCCACGCAGGAGCACAGGTGCCGGATGCCACGCACAAGGCCATGCTGCATATGGAGGAGCGGGGCCACGCTCCGGCGGCACCGGCAGAGTTCGGTACTTTGGGCAAAGTCAAGGTTTGCTGCCGGCAATCAGCCAGCTCCGAGCAGGCTGAAGTTTTATATCCACAGCTGAAGCTTCCAAGACGATAAAGTTAACACTGAATTATCTTTAATGCAGTAGGAAGCTTAAGGTCAGATTTACTTTCCAGCATGGTTTCCTGCCAGAAAGTATAAAAACATAACCTTCGGCCCCGCACGCACAAACACCTTCCAATCTTTCAGGAGTGCGGGGCGGCTCCGCGGAAGTGCGGGGACATCCATCAAACGCGGCGTGGTAATTTACAAGGCAGCATAAAATTGTGGATTTTCAACTGCATAATCTTTGGACAGGTAAACAAATGACAGCAGGGCGCAGGCAGGACCCGGCACACCTCGCCGAGCACGCAGCTCCGCGGCACGCTGCCTTCGCTGTTCTGGAGTGCGGTGGGGGCGCCGGAGCGCGGCGTGATGGATGGCACCTCGGAGGCTGCTCCCAGCCCCGTCTGCCCCCCTCCATGCCCGCCGCCTGCTGGAGTCCAGGCAAGGGCCCGTGGGACTCCCGCTCCATGGGCGGACCCTTAGGGGCCAGGGAAGCTTTGCCTTCTGCTCAGATGAAGAGCAGAGCCAGGCTTCCCACTGTGACTGTGAAGCCAGCACCCAGGGGCAGGTGAACACATGAGCAGTCGGTTCAAAGACTGCCCTCTGTGGAGCTGTGTTTGGACTCTGCACGGCCGCCAGGCCCCCAGTAGCTTTCTACCACCAACTCAAGCCCGCACCGTGTCCTTGCAGACTTGAGCGTAGCGTTTGTGGTACTAGGTATTGCCTCCTGGGCGATGCAGTCTCTGTTCTCCCCAGCTGGGCCCCTGGTCAGGCAGGCGACCCATGGCGAGGCAGCCAGTGTGCAAGTCCACCACCTGCCTCCTCCACGTGGCGTGTGCTTTAGTCCAGGCCGACAGGGGAGGCTCCTGCCCAGCTTGCCCTGGGTCTGCGGGTTCCTGGCTAGCACCTGCTCAGGCTTGCATGGACGCTGGTGAGCAGGCTGGGCATGGAGCCCACATCGGTGAGCAGGCTGGACACTTGGCAGGGCACTGGCAGGAGGGCTGCCCAAGGCCCTGGCCCAGCCCACCTCACTCGAGTCCTGCAGACCTAAGTGGGGATCACCACACTCCTGCCTCCGTCCTCCCCTGCAGAGCGCTCTGGGAGAGCAGGTGGAGATGGTGGGGGCCAGGCCTCTGGAGGAGACAGCGGGGAGGGCAGCAGGGACACAGATGGAGAAGCTCAGGGCAACTGGGCTGACCTGGCATGTGGGGGGGCAGGGGTTGGTCCGACATGCCGGGACTGGGCTGCGGGGAGAGGGCGCTGGAGCACAGAGCTCCAGGCTCACAGTTACCCGCATCTCCTGGTCCTGCTAACCCCAGACCAGGCTGGGTTGGACCCTCGGCTCTGCATGGTGAGCAGCAAGAAGATGTCTGTGCTGTGGGGCCCACTGTGTGCCCACTGCTGACAAGCCGACACAAACCGAACTCTTCTGAAAAACACCCCTTTGGGTTAAAACATGGGAGAGAATGGAATCCCCTGGAAACCCTATGAAAGTGGGCAAGTTCCCAGCTCTGAGAACATCATGGTCCCCCCAGGCCTGTCCAGCCCAGGTGCAAGCCTGGGTCTCACAGCCGCCCTCCGAGGCCATGGGCTCCACAGGTCTGACAGACTGTAAGATGGCGGCCTTCCCCCTCCCTCTCCATCCTTGGCCTGAGCAAGGACCAGCGCGAGGTCAGTGCTCACCCAAGAGGGTGGCATGCCGCCCACATGGCCGTAGGGCCTCCACTGACCTTGAGCACCAGCTCCTTGGCAGATAAGGACATGAGGATGCGGTCACACCACGCCGGGCAGCGGGTGCTCATGTACTGCTGGCCCTGGCTGGGGTCCTCGCTGTACGGGTAGCTGCGGAGACAAAGAGGCGGTTTTAGGCGCACCCTCACCCTGCCGTCCTTGGGTCCAGAAGGGAGGACCATGCTGTCCAAGGAGAGAGCGCACACAGATGCCTCCACAGCAGCCACCGGCACAACCTGTCTTCACGGCAAACTCGGCTCTCCTCCAGTGCTGCTACGGGCAGCTCATGTCTCCTCCCGCAGGCCCGGCGTCCACTCACTCTGCTGACCGCAGTTCCTATCAGGCATGACCATGGGGGTCCCTGTCCATGGCTTGCTGCCCCTGAGAGCCTGTTTAGCTCTTTGAAGGTGGGGCTCCAGCCAGTGACCGCGGCCTTCTTGCTGGGTCTTCTGACCATCGCAGTGAGCCCTCCCACCTCACCCTGTCCACGCCACGGGTACACACCACCTCACCCACGGGGTCATCCTGACATAGCTCAGCCTGGCCCTGGGTGGCCCCACCGGGCACTGCCCGCCTCCACACACCACAACCCGTAGGTAGAGACAATCCAGATCTGAGGAGACCACTTGTCTTATGTCTACGTCTGGAGAGAGTAGCCCTGATTCAGGATGCAGTGTCCTGTCAGAGCTGTGTGCAGTGTCAGAGCTGTGTGCAGTGTCCTGTCAGAGCTGTGTGCAGTGTCCTGTCAGAGCTGTGTGCAGTGTCAGAGCTGTGTGCAGTGCCAGAGCTGTGTGCAGTGTCAGAGCTGTGTGCAGTGTCCTGTCAGAGCTGTGTGCAGTGTCCTGTCAGAGCTGTGTGCAGTGTCAGAGCTGTGTGCAGTGTCAGAGCTGTGTGCAATGTCAGAGCTGTGTGCAGTGTCCTGTCAGAGCTGTGTGCAGTGTCAGAGCTGTGTGCAGTGTCCTGTCAGAGCTGTGTGCAGTGTCAGAGCTGTGTGCAGTGTCAGAGCTGTGTGCAGTGTCCTGTCAGAGCTGTGTGCAGTGTCATGTCAGAGCTGTGTGCAGTGTCAGAGCTGTGTGCAGTGTCCTGTCAGAGCTGTGTGCAGTGTCCTGTCAAAGCATTGAGCAGTGTCATCTCAGAGCAGGAAGCAGTGTCATCTCAGAGGCTGTCCTGATGAGTAGGAACTCACCCCACATGGGCATTGTGCTTATTAGACTATGCTGTAGTAACAGGTGAGCTCTCCTGAGAACAACTGGTCTGGTGTGGGCACCTCAGGGCATTTTGCCAGGCCCAGCCTGGGAAGGGCACTTCGCTGGGTGCCACTAAGGAGGGCCCTGTAGGGCTCTTTGCCTAGGTCTGCCTTCCCTACCCCAGGGCGTCCACAGTGCTTTTAGGGCCTTCAATGTCTAGACCCTGCACAACCATCCTTTTAGTCGAATGTTGCTCTCTGGTCACCCAAAGCCAACAGTGTTGAGGAGGGTGTCCTAGCCCCTCAAGTCTGCTGTCCTTAGTAGAAGGAATGAGGCTGTTTTCCAGTCTGAAGCGGTCAGAGCTCCTGTCAGGGTTAATTGTGGTCCTCCGCCTCCTGCAAGCCCAGCCACTCTCTTGCTGGCCTGGTCCTCCATCTCCTGGATGTGGGGACACCTTGTAGAATGCACTTCCTGCCTGTTCACCAAGGGGGAGCCCACAAACATTCACAGGAACTGTAGCCTTGGTCTCTCAAAGGACTAAAGACCTTACCTGGTGTTTGGTTACATGATATTTTTAAAGAATACTGAAATAGCAGGTTAACTTGCTAAGTGTTTCTCTACCCTGGGCATAGATTCTGGAGAAATGAACCTTGACCCCTGGTAGAAGCTGCCTGTCTGGGACTCAGGCTGGGCCCCACATGGGATGGAGGAGCGTGCAGGTGACAGTGTGTCAGTGCAGGTGACAGTGTGTCAGTGCAGGTGACAGTGTGTCAGTGCAGGTGACAGTGTGTCAGTGCAGGTGACAGTGTGTCAGTGCAGGTGACAGTGTGTCAGTGCAGGTGACAGTGTCAGTGCAAGGGACAGGGTGGAGGTGTGTGCAGGTGGTGGAACTCCAGCCAGGTGCAGGCCAGGTGGGAAGCAGGCAGGGTTGGGCAGCAGGGCTTCCCACAGGTAGGCTGGGAGGTCCTCACAGGGCTAGGGCAGCAGGGCCAGGCCCAGGCACTGGGCCTTTCCTGGCAGAGAGGCTGATCTTTTCCGGCTTGTCCACGCACCCTGGGACAGCTTCTCACTTTGCTGGCCTCGGCTGTCCACAGCATCCCAGCTGACCCTTCTGTGGGGCCTAGGGAGCCACACTCTGCTCACCGTCTCTGACCCTGTGGCTGTCCCTGTGTCTTCAGACTTGGGTCTGGTGTGCACTTCACACACTGCCAACGTGAGACCAACCTAAACCACCTCACTCCAAAGTGCCAATTTGGAAGGGAATCATCCGGAGCCACCACCTGCCCTTAGAACTCTGGTCTCCTCAGCACAGCTCTGATGCTGAAGCTGCAGTGGGCCCACGGGCCTGGGGCCTCATACACCCCTGACATCATCCTGTCCAGACAAGCTCATGCTAACTTTGCCTGGGTGGTCTTCGCGGCCACCTCCCGAGCAGTGAGGATTATGGTCGCCACACCCGGCTCTGCAGCTCACTTTTACATGCACTTGTAGACGAAGGTGTTCTAGTCCCCAAGCTCAATCAGCCTGGAATGGCCTGTCTGGGTCCCTTCCGTCTGTGAGTAAGCACAGGACTTGACAGGAGGTCACCACCTGGACACAGCAGGTCCCCAAGTCAGGGCCAGCAAGTGGATTTCCTGTGTAGACGTTAGATCTCAGCCCAGGGCCCTTGGCACTGCTGGGGCTCAGGACCAACTCCAGCTGCCCAGAGAGGTCCGCAGGTGGATAGTTGTTCTGACCAGGGTCAGAAGCAGGGCCTGGCTGTGTAGGCTGGGGTGCTCTCTGTGAGGGGAACCTGACATCAAAGAATGGAAGCCGACACCACGTAGGAGGCCACCTGGGTCCAGAGGCCGTGCATCCCATCCCCTCCTACACTCGGAGCCTGTCCACCGGTGATTAATGTGGGCTGCGCGGCCCAGCACTTATCTGGAAGCAAATCCACGGGGCGCGACAGGACAAGCCGGCTCTATCTCAGCCTGCTCGGCTCCCGGGACAATCACTGTAATTAATTGCAGTGGTGATAAAATTAACAATTACCCACCTGTGCTCCTCAGCTGCCCCCCCCCGGGCCCTGCACAGCCCCTCAGGATGCGGGCAGGCACCCCTGCACAGCCCCTCAGGATGCAGGCAGGCACCCCTATGCTGCACAGCCCCTCAGGATGCAGGCAGGCACCCCTATGCTGGCTGATCCCCCAGGATGCGGGCAGGCACCCCAGCCCTGCACAGCCCCTCAGGATGCGGGCAGGCACCCCTATGCTGCACAGCCCCTCAGGATGCGGGCAGGCACCCCTATGCTGCACAGCCCCTCAGGATGCGGGCAGGCACCCCTATGCTGCACAGCCCCTCAGGATGCGGGCAGGCACCCCTATGCTGCACAGCCCCTCAGGATGCGGGCAGGCACCCCTATGCTGCACAGCCCCTCAGGATGCGGGCAGGCACCCCTATGCTGCACAGCCCCTCAGGATGTGGGCAGGCACCCCTATGCTGCACAGCCCCTCAGGATGCAGGCAGGCACCCCTGCACAGCCCCTCAGGATGCGGGCAGGCACCCCTGCACAGCCCCTCAGGATGCGGGCAGGCACCCCAGCCCTGCACAGCCCCTCAGGATGTGGGCAGGAACCCCAGCCCTGCACAGCCCCTCAGGATGCGGGCAGGCACCCCTATGCTGCACAGCCCCTCAGGATGCGGGCAGGAACCCCAGCCCTGCACAGCCCCTCAGGATGCGGGCAGGCACCCCTATGCTGCACAGCCCCTCAGGATGCGGGCAGGCACCCCTATGCTGCACAGCCCCTCAGGATGCGGGCAGGCACCCCTATGCTGCACAGCCCCTCAGGATGCAGGCAGGCACCCCTGCACAGCCCCTCAGGATGCGGGCAGGCACCCCTGCACAGCCCCTCAGGATGCGGGCAGGCACCCCAGCCCTGCACAGCCCCTCAGGATGCGGGCAGGAACCCCAGCCCTGCACAGCCCCTCAGGATGTGGGCAGGAACCCCCTATGCTGCACAGCCCCTCAGGATGCGGGCAGGAACCCCAGCCCTGCACAGCCCCTCAGGATGCGGGCAGGCACCCCTATGGTGCACAGCCCCTCAGGATGCGGGCAGGCACCCCTATGCTGCACAGCCCCTCAGGATGTGGGCAGGAACCCCCTATGCTGCACAGCCCCTCAGGATGTGGGCAGGCACCCCTATGCTGCACAGCCCCTCAGGATGCGGGCAGGCACCCCTATGCTGCACAGCCCCTCAGGATGTGGGCAGGCACCCCTATGCTGCACAGCCCCTCAGGATGCAGGCAGGCACCCCTGCACAGCCCCTCAGGATGCGGGCAGGCACCCCTGCACAGCCCCTCAGGATGCGGGCAGGCACCCCAGCCCTGCACAGCCCCTCAGGATGTGGGCAGGAACCCCAGCCCTGCACAGCCCCTCAGGATGCGGGCAGGCACCCCTATGCTGCACAGCCCCTCAGGATGCGGGCAGGAACCCCAGCCCTGCACAGCCCCTCAGGATGCGGGCAGGCACCCCTATGCTGCACAGCCCCTCAGGATGCGGGCAGGCACCCCTATGCTGCACAGCCCCTCAGGATGCGGGCAGGCACCCCTATGCTGCACAGCCCCTCAGGATGCAGGCAGGCACCCCTGCACAGCCCCTCAGGATGCGGGCAGGCACCCCTGCACAGCCCCTCAGGATGCGGGCAGGCACCCCAGCCCTGCACAGCCCCTCAGGATGCGGGCAGGAACCCCAGCCCTGCACAGCCCCTCAGGATGCGGGCAGGAACCCCCTATGCTGCACAGCCCCTCAGGATGCGGGCAGGAACCCCCTATGCTGCACAGCCCCTCAGGATGCAGGCAGGCACCCCTATGCTGCACAGCCCCTCAGGATGCAGGCAGGCACCCTTGCACAGCCCCTCAGGATGCAGGCAGGCACCCCAGCCCT